ACTGGTGAACTAGAACAATTAGATCTCCTTTCTCTTTGTCTCTCCATTTGTTCTTTCTCTCTTTGGAATTTGACTTGAGGAAGATGAAGGAAAAAAAGTGGGTTTCAGCATGAAAGAATCTAAACAGTCATTAGTAAAAGAGTGTGTGGCACTGCTGTCCAATAGAACTTTCTGAAGTAATGGGGATACTGTGTATCTGTGATGTCCTGCACGGTAGCCACTGGCCTCACACAGCTGTTGAGCACTTGAAATGTGGTTACTGTGACTAATTGAGTTTTAAAATTTTATCGATTTTAATTAATTGAAATTTAAATAGCCACAAGAGGCCAGTGACTACAGAATTGAACAGTGTAGGTCTCATAGATGGGCTAAGAGTAAGCCAGTTATGAAGAAGCTGATACAGGAAGAACAGCTAAAATATGTCAAAGGAGAGTTTCTGTTTCTGAACTCCAAGGAGCTGTTCAAATAAGACTGGTCTGGAGAGTTTTGAGTGGCTGGGGCTACTTTCACCCCGCCTCTTACTGTGCCTAACCTTACTATTGTTGCCGTTCTCACATTTCTGTATGACTCCATCTCCCTTGTTCTGTTCCAATGCTGGTTTTTCGGTTTTTCTAAGCTCTCAAACATAGTGAAATGAAACTCTTCCAAGTGCCATTTTAGTGACTAAATTGAATAGTTGGTTCAGAATGCTACAAAGTCCTCTCCCTTAGGAAGAACCAAGTTTTGCCATTAAGACGCTGACAGATTTACCAGCTTTACCTGACACCTCTTGGGATGACTTCCAGGTTCACATTTTCTTCTTTTTGGGAAGACTCCCAGACACATGGGAATAGGTCCTGAGTGATCATATTTGAGCCACACAGTCTTGTTTTGTTTGCTATTGATCCATGGTTCAAAAACGTTCAAGTGTGCCAGAATCAGCTGGAGGACCTGTGAAGACACAGGTGGTAGGACCCATCCTTAAAGATGCCTTTCTGGTAGGCCTGTAGGTGTGGCCCAGGTATCTGCAGGTCTAAAAATTTCTCAGGTGATATTGATGTTGCTGCTCTAGGGACTGTACTTTAAGAACCACAGCTTTAGATAATTAAGTCAGGGACTGTTGCCTGAGATAGAACAATCAGCTTCTCCCAAGAATTTGAAATTTGGAACAAAGAGCTCGGAGTCTGAGTGCTAGTAGAGCAGTGCTCTGGAGAGAAGGTCTGAAAACTACCACTAGTTTATCCAGTTCCTGTTTTTCTTGAGCCTTGATTGTTTTATCCTTTGAATAAATCCCATTACATTTCTTTGTTTTGCATAAACTGGCCATAGAAAGTTTTTGTTGTCAGTTAAAGTGTTCCACCAAGAAAAACAGAAAGGATTCGAAGTAGTATTTAAAACAGAGATAATGTGGTCCAGAGAACTGGCCATACTGTGAAAGAAGATCTGAGAAGCCAAACACTCAACGCAGAGATTAGCAACAGCAGGAAGCTATCTCTACCCCTAGGCTGGAGGGACAAGGGGAGAAGGTGGTGTTACAGGCCAGGGTGACCTGGAAGAAGCTGGAACCAGGACAGACCAGTCCAACAAGGAAAATGCTGCTGCCACTGCCAGAAACATCACCCAATGCACCTCTGTGGATGTGAAGAAATTCCCTAGCTTCTCATTTCCTCCTGCCTCCAATCTCCCAGCAGTGCCTCTCCATGCTGAGAAGCTTGGGAAAGGCTCCCTATGTTACTGAGGACAGCAGGGGGACCCTGAGGAAGAACTACATATAGATCTGAGAACAAGTCAAGGACTGGTGCTGTTCAACCCTGAATTTCTCATTTTAGTCTTCAAAGTACATTTTGCCTACTTACCAATTTGACTGAGATAATATGTGCATGTATATTCTTTCTGATAGTCTTTGTTAAGAATAAGAATTTTTAATTTAAATGGGTTTTTATTACCTTGTTCCATAATTAGGCCTGACATTTTTGAGATAATCTTTTGGGAAAAATTGCAAATGATATCAAGAACTAACATTTGTATAGTGCTTTTTCAGTTTGAAAAATATTTTTACATGCCTCATATAATTTAATCCTCAAAAACCTCATGAAATATGTAGTATTGTTAACCCTATTTTATAAATAAGAAAAGTGAGGCTCATAAAGAATAAATAACACAAATATGCAAAGTAACATGGCTCACAAATAACGAATGGCACAATCCCAAACCTGGGCTTAGCACACAACCTTGATTATTGTAAAACATCAAGCTATTGCATGAAAGTACACCCAAAGTTACAAACTTTCAATTCTTTCTCTCTGTTGATAACTCATTTCCTCCCTTATCTAAAACCCAATATCTACAGTAAAACCTTGTAACCAGCACTGAAAAAGGTGATTTTAAAAGATCAGCGAAATGCTTGGTGGGGCCTTCTCCCCACCCCCTACCTGGGACTGTCAATTAAATCTATTCTGAGTGGTCTCACAGGTTCCTAATTAACAGGTCATATTATGGGATGAGGCAGGGCTTTTCTGAAGATCTTCAGAACAGCAGCAGTTATGTAAAATGCAAAGATAGAAAGTAAAGAAACCCATTTTGACTGAGAATATCAATTAGCTAGACAGAGTGGGTGTTTTCATGAGTTATGAGACTACATGGCCACCTAGAAAAAATTAAATGCAAACATGCACAATGATTGTGTATGAAAGTGAGTGTGTGTGTACACAGTGATTGTGTAAGAAAATGAGTGAGAGAGAAAGTGTGTGTGAGTTCCCTTTGGTCTCCATAGAAGCGGTTAAGCTTTCTCTGGTCCTAGTTCTACAGACTGTATTTCTGATGTTAAAGAGCCATCTTTGTTTCCCTTGGTTACCAATGAAACTGTGCAGGGATCAGTTCAAATCCATCACCACTTGCAGAAAATTTTTCCAAATACAATGCCCTCTTTCTGTATCTATTATCTATATTTATAGCTACGTAATAGGAAGAACAGTTCATATGTGCACGTCTCTACATTTATGTGCTGACAATATTGTGTATGCTGTCCTTTATACAGAGATGACTATGTCACATGGCACATCTCTATAATATTGTTAAAGAGAATGGAATTTTTGTTTTCAGACAGAGCCCATCCTCTCCTTCATTACTGAAGACCCAAGAGAACTTGCTGTAAGGTGATTTCTCCAATAAAATTACTCCTCAGGGTGTGCCTCAATAACATACTTTTATCTACAAGGATAAGCCCTGTCTTAACAGAGAGGCTCCACATTCAATTTATTGACTCAATAAATTTCAGGCTCACTGATGATGTTTCCATGTAAAAGCTTTACACAGTTATAAAATTGGAAGAGACTTTAGAATCATCCCAGATCAAGTTTCTCTCTGAATATTTTTCTGCCATGAACTGCATTACGTTAAGTCTACCCATTAATTAGAATATCAGTGATTATACCCTTGGTCTGATGGCCAGGGGAATATTTATATTGCCAGGGTTCATTTTAGATACTATTTGAATAAACTGAGGACAGAAGAGTGACATTCAAAGTTATATTCTTTCAGTGGAGAAAAGTGGGTCTGGTCTATAAAGAACAGGCTTGTTAAAAGAAAATCAGAATTCATCACTAAACATCTCCCTGAGCAAAACAAAGCATTTCCTCTCCCCTGAGATCTGCAACTAGTTTCATAAATATTTTTTCACTTGAACCCAACTTAGTGTTGCAGAATGAACGGAGAAAATGAATAAGAAGAGTTCCACCAACACTTCAGTAGGGAATTGTCTGAAATCTTAATTGTGAACCTTCTTTTCTCAAGATGCACAGTCTTGTAGAGATTTTGCTAGTGGAACGGGTGTGTGAGTTGATCCTTATATGGGATTGAGACACATCAAATGCTACTATAATTTACATTTTCAACTCGAGTAACTAAATGCATTGATTCTTTTCATATTAAGACACTTGGTATTCATTGAATAATGAAAAATGGCACGGAAAAAATGTGTTAACAATACAGCCTGCCTAAAGGGTCAGAATTCTGCTACACACCTTTTGCTTACCTTTAAATAAACATTTAGGTGTGTTAAGAGCAGGGCAATTCTTGCACAGCACGATGTTGTTTGGTTTAACGCCTTTATAAAAATATTTGAAAAGAAAGATATGGAAAATGAGGGGGGGAATGTTGTGGATTTAAAAACACGTGGCAAATATATACACAATTTATTAAAACTTTAGACAAGGACGTTTTCGTCCTGGGAGTGGAGAGCCACCAGGGCGGGAAGTCCGCTGCAGGATGAACAAAAGCATGGCTGCGCGATAATATTATCTCTGCAGCAGCAGCAGGCGCCCTGACGGAAGGTTGCGGCGACTGTCTAGTCTATCACACCGCATTTCTGGTAGTGACAACGACTGTTATTGTCAGCTCAGCCGACTAAGTGGTTCCCCGCCTTCTGCCAGGTCACCTGGTCTCCGTTAAATGGGAAGGAGAAAAGAGAAACGTGAATTGAGCCAAGTGGGGTACAAGAAGATTCCTCCGCTTTGGGACCGGCGTCGCCCCATCCTTTTGAGAGATGTTGAGCGGCGAAAATTCGAGGACCATATTTAACCCAGAAACAAGTGAATCCTCCGAATTAGCTGCTGCTACTTGTGGGGAAGGCAGAAAGTCTTAATCGTCTCTTCCCAGCAGGGGCCAAGAAAGCCCAGTTAGTTAGAGCCTGGCCGGACTACGCGAGCCCCGGGCCCCTCCGGGCCCTCAGAGCCCGCGCGGGGCAGAGTAGAGGTCAAGTCAAGAGGCAAGACTGCAGGGCAGCCCTCCCACTCTCCCGTGCGGTCCACAGCTCGGCTTCAGAACGACCACCGTAACACTGCAAAGATGTAAGGCAGGGAGGGGGCGGGTCCTGAAGGGGGCGGAACAAGGGGCGGGGCAGAAGAGCCGAGGAGTGTTTTGGGAGGTGTAGTTCCACGAGTCCCGACAGCAAAGCTGTCCCGGCTCGGGTAGTAGATGGGGACAACAACTCCCAGGAGTCTGCGCGCCCGACCAGAGCGTCCATGCGCAGTGGGAGCCACTTTGTATCCTATCAGGCGAGGAGAGGGTGATGTCACCTGCGAGTTAGTAACCTACGAGCGGCTGTGTAGGAAACTGTTTAACCGGATCCCATTGTACCCAGAGTGCAGAGCCGCCTTTTCAGCATGCAGGGGCTGCTCAGGTAAGGGGGACGCGCCTCCTTGCTCGCCGCACTCATTCATTAAGTGGCACTGCTCAGTGGTGCGGGGGTGGGCGTGCTTCCGTGGGCCAGGCGCTGCGTTCGCGGCGCGCCCTCCCGCTGCCTCCCCGGAGCTCCCGAGCCAGTAGGTAAATATTAAACCCGTCCTTCAGGTTGGGTCTGGGTGGGAACGGGACCGAGACAGCCTTCGGCTGCTAAGCTGGGGGTGGGAAAATGGCTGCAGCGCAACGCAAACCGAGGCAGCAGGGAGGAAGACGCCCCCAAGGACGGGGGTCCCTCCCTCCTTTCTTTCTAAGGCGCCCGGCTGGCCGGGGAGCCGGCGGGGTACCACCCGCCCCTTTGCTGCAGGCTCCCCAGGGCTGGGGCCGCGGGTACTGCAGCGGCGGCCGGGAGCTCCCGGTCCGGCGGCTCCGAGAGGGGGATCCCCGAGGCAGGCTTGGTGGACGCGGCGGTGGCAACAGGGAAGGAGGGACTCGTGTACCCGTCCGCTTCCGAGCCGAGCCGCTGACACCCTCCCTATCAGCTCCATTCGAAAGGGACGGAATGCCTGTAATTCAGACCAAGTTGGAGCTAAATGTCTCAAAACAGAAGGGAAATCGGGCGTTGCGGAGGGAGAGCGAGGTGTTGGCTGCCGGGGAGGCTGCGCCGCCTGCGGACCCGGCCGTGAGGCGCCGCAGAGCGCTCCTGCGGCCAGTCCCTCTCGGGAGGGCGCATCTCAGTCCCCACGCTCCCTTGGCAGAGAGCACCTGGGATGGGGCGAAGCGCCTGCCCTGGAGCCCTGGGCCAGGAGGTGGTGGCGCGGGGGTGGAGTGTCGGATAATCTAATGATTAGGCTCGCTGTGGGGCAGGAGGGCTGGATAATCGAGTTTACCCAGCTGGTGCTGAAAGCTAACAGCTTGTGATCGGCTTGCCCTCTGACTGGAGACGTGCTCCAGGCCCAGATCTCTCAAAGTCCTGGATGTTCTTTTCCTTTCCCTAGTACCTTCATTTGTTCTTTTACTCGTTCATCAAACCCTGCTAAGATCTCAGGTTGTTCACGGACTGGCTTTGCGGAGTTCTCCTCTCGCCCCATAACATATTTAGTGATGCCTGAACTCCATTCCCCTCTCCTGCATCTCCACTTTCTGGAGAGCATCAAGAGCAAATGCCCCCCGTGACCGTTTTGCTCTCGTAGAGCTGGTAGTTTCTTGAGATTCGAGAAGGACCCAGTGAATTGAAGCGGACTTGCCGGCAAGATGAATCCCGTTGCCATGGCGACTCCTGCCTTCGGAATCTTAGCTGCTGCCACTGCTGTTTCGATTCAATGTGGCTCTGCGGGCAGCTGGGAGGGAGTGGCTAGTGGGTGTGGTCAAACGCTCGCCCCTGCCCAGCTGCTTTCTCCTCCTTGCCCCCTTCACAGCCCCAGGACTTTCCCCTTTTTCTCCTAGATAGCTTGGACAGAGTTCTAGACCCCTTTCCCTTCCCCGTGCCACACCTCGTCACTCCACCTCCTTCCCTAAAACTAATTGTTTGGCGCCTTTTTCCTGAGGCAAACTCTGAAAATTATAATTTGAAAAATCTGTTTCCTCTTTCGGGCAGCCACATGATTTCCCCAATAAGGTCATTTATTGTGTTTGAGGCAGCTTTATCTTGAAGGGTGCCCTCCCCTCTTCTGCATAAAAAGAGCTCTCAATTTGCTCTAGGTGCAGCTGATTGGAAGTGATTAGGGACAATTAATAACAGTTGGAAGTCATTGCAGTCCCTTGTGGTTTTCATAAGATCTAAAGCCAGCCTACAGGGTGCAGGTCCTTGAGGGCAAAGCATGCAGGGCCATAACTAGGAGCCTTGGATCTTACTCTGGCTCTGTCCTTCACTGGCTGCTCCAGGCTGGGGTTAACCCTTTTACTTCTGAAGACCTCAGTCTCCTCTTGGGTAATGTGGGGAAAGGGTATAGAGGGTTTCCTAAAGTTAATTCTAGGTGCAATAGCCTATGATTCTAAGATAGACTTGGTCATTGTCCTTCCCCCCCCCCCAAAGTAATCTGAAGTTAAGGATTTAAACGTAGCTTCTGATACTGTGCCATTGGGTAGTATCTCTGAGCCTTACTTGTATGGCAAAATAGCCTGGTTCTTCATGGCAACCCTTCAAAGTGGACAGGCAGCTGTGTTACTATTTGTAATACTGCTTATACCACCACTACTACTATTCCAGTATCTGGACTCTTCTAATTATACTTTAATATTATAAATAATTGTTTAGGTTTTGCCTTTTTATAGATTCCTAATGAATGCAGTTATTTGTAATTACATTAATTGTAATTGACTTACACAAATATTTTGTTTCCCCTCTGCTTGCATTTTATACCAATGTGAATTATCACAGATATTGCAATTATTGGGGCAAGTGTGTACATGAGAGTATATATGCACATATATCCATAGTCAGGTAAATGCTTGGGATTGCTGTATGTTTGGTGGTTGACACTTACCATCTTACATAGGTGGCTACATCCCCATGAGGAAACAGGATCAGAAGTTGTCACTTTTTATTTTATTTTTTTTCCTGGAACTTAAATGAAAATTTCCGGCTGGGCGTGGTGGCTAACGCCTGTAATCCCAGCACTTTGGGAGGCCAAGGCAGGCAGATTGCCTGAGCTCAGGAGTTCGAGACCAGCCTGGGCAACACAGTGAAACCCCATCTCTTATATTAAAATACAAAAAATTATCCGGATGTGGTGGTGTGCACCTGTAGTCCCAGCTACTCAGGAGGCTGAGGCAGGAGAATTGCAAGAACCCGGGAGGCGGAGGTTGCAGTGAGCTGAGATCGCACCATTGCATTCCAGCCTGGGTGACAGAGCGAGACTCCGTCTCAAAAAAAAAAAAGAAAAAATTTCCTTCATTCTTCTGCTTATCTACCCTACTAGATTATAAGCTCCTTGAGGGCAGGGTCTTTGTCTTGTCCTTTTCTATATCCCCAGCATTTAGAGCAGTTTGTTCATTTGTAGGTCTTTAATAAATATTTTTAAAATGAATATTAACTAGCAGAACTATGATTGGAGGTTCAAGGTCTGAATTCTTTCCACTGATAGCTCTGTCATCCATGGTAATATTCCCCTAAGCTTTCTGCCAAGCAGTTTCATTTAAGCATAAACCAAAACTTGCCTGGCTTAAAAGGCTTTCTGTGTATTTGAAATAGACAGGTGAATTTCCTAATTATTTACTTTTAGAATACATTCCCTCACATAGACTATTTCTTTCTAGTTACAATTTATTACCCCTGAACCAGGCATTTCTAGATTTCTCTCAGTTGCACTATATTTGGCCCAGATAATTTTCTCTGGAGGTGTCTGACAAGTGAATAGGGAGAGAGACCAGGACAAAGATACCTAGAAGCTTTTGCCAGGCCACCAGTGTCTCCCAGAAGAGCTGGGAGACAATAGTCTTCTCACCTGAGGCAGAGCCATTCTGTAAACAGATCAGTAGTCTCGGCTGGTTGATGTGAAAGAATTGTGAAAGAACATTTGCCTGATATTTGTAATATGTTACCATCCAGTAGTCGGGTGCTGTGGGTTTTCAGGAGCATAGTGAGGAGGTGTGATAATGAAGAGGGTGTTGGTGGGTCACATACTTGGGTGTTGCTTACAGGGGCTCAGTGAGTAGGTGCTAAGGAATTTGAATCCTGGCTTTCTTGTTTTGTGGAGATGTTCTGGGTGTTAAGGGGTGTGTGTGTGTGTGTGTGTGTGTGGTTTTATTTGAGCTACATTGTTTAAAAGGCTGCTTTTAGTGTTGGCACTACAGTGCTTAAAACAAATAAGGTGTTTACAAACAAACCAGTTCTGATTGAAAGTGTTTCATTTTGTAAATATTTGGGAAATGTCATAAAGAGAAACTTGAGGTCTTCTGTGAAAACACTTTAAAAGTTGCGGCTATTGGACCAGAGGAAACACGCTTTTCCAACAAAGCTTGGTATCACAGAGTGCCCTAGGTGTTTGGTTCAAGAAATAATCACAGAGTTTGTAATGGCTGTGGGGCCCTCCCTGGCTTCAAGCCATGCTCTGGTATTTCCAGTGTTAAGTCTATCCTTACATTGCTGGAAACCAAGCAAGATGTCCAAGTTGGGTTAGCAATCTTGTTTTCTCTCTAGAGGGGACACCAGTCAAATGAAAGTTCTATATTCTGTTGTGATTTTTTTCCTCTTTGGTTGAGGCATATGGTGACTTATTTTGGTATTACAATTTCTAACTTGTTAATAGAGGTAATCTTCTAAGTGAAGAGCTATCTTAAATACACACAGCATCTGTTGTAGTGGTTTCAAGACCTCAAAGTTTAGAGGAAACTGACTGCACAGGTACTATTTAAGAAACTGGTACTGAGAGCATTTTCTGTAGTTCTGTATGTGACTTGGGGGTAATGTCTGGTTGGCAGATCAGGCTAGGATAGATGATACCTCTCTTGAAAATGCATTCACTTAGCAAGTGTACTGTCTTTTATGTAGACTGTATTATTTAGAGTGGCTGAGGCTGCTGATAGAGACCAGCATTGAAGCATGAATCTGAAGTACATCCCCCTTCCCTGAGCTGTCCCCTTTTTGTACTCCCACTGAAACGGACAGATGAACATGAGATTCAGGTCGATTTTGGTGACCTACATTTCACTGAAGCAGACTCTTTTTTTTTTTTTTTTTTTTGCAGAAAGAATAGGTTACCTTTTAATTTTCTAGTATCCTTTCCACTGTTCTAGGAGCAGGGGAGAACCGAGCATTTCAGGGAGAGTTTGCATTCATCGTACACAAGTTTGCATTCATAGAACATGTGTCTAAAAACGAACTGAATGTTAAGTCCTAGAAGCACAGCAAGCATACAGAGCCTTCCCCATCATTAATCTGGTGTTACCAAATACACCCTCAGCTTTGGTGAGCCTGTTTTCCCTCATTGGTGTTTAAGCGTTCTTGGTTTTTACTGCCTCTGTGACTTTCTGCAGTAATGGCTGTCCACCTCTGGAATG